GAGAGAGCGAGAGCGAGGGTGAGCGAGAGAGAGAGAGCGAGAGCGAGGGTGAGGGTGAGCGAGAGAGAATTGAGGGAATCTAAAAATAATATTTTTAATGAGATTATTTTTTTGATAGTGTCTAAAAATTAATTTTGAATTAATGTTTATCCAATCAAATTAATTTTGAGAAAAACAAAATCTCAATATTAATTAAAATTGTTTTCTGAAATCTCTCATCAATCTCTTTAAATCTCTCAATATAGTTTTAATTATAATTGAATTTCAAATACCCCAATTTTGCTTTCCCATCTTTCATTCCTAATTTAAATTTTAATCAAATGTATCAATTTAAAATCTAATTAAAAAAGAGATTTTGGGAAACAAATTTGAATTAAATTTCAAATTCGAATACTTTCTTTTTGTAATTAGATTTTAAATTGATATTTTCATTTGATTAAATTTTAAATTAGGAATGAAAGAGATGAAAGCAAAATGAGGGGTTTTTATTTCAATCCTAAATAAAACTACGTTGAGAGATTTAATGAGATTGAGAATAGATTTCAAGAAACAAATTTGAATTAATATTGAGATAGTATTATTAGATTCCCTCAATTCTCATTCACCCTCGCTCAACCTCGCTCTCTCTCGCTCCCTCTCGCTCAACCTCGCTCTCTCTCTCTCTCTTTATCCCATCCCCCATTCCTCTTCCACTGATCTTCTTTCTTCGGCGAACGACCTCCTTCGTCGGCTTTGATGCATCCATCGTCAGCGATTGCTAAAAGTCACGGGAATCATGGAGGAAAAAAAATTGTTTTTTGTGGTGAGTAAAGAAGAAAGAGAATAATAGTAATAGAAAAAATAGAGAAAGAGGGAAGATGGAAAAGAGAAACTCTAAGAAAATTTTAGGGAGAATGAGAAAAAAAAAATTTGCTGAAAAGACGAAAAAGAATAATGAAAAACGATAAGAAAACAGAGAGGAGGAAAAAAAATCTGGAAAAAAAGGGAGATGGAGGTAGAGAGAGGAAATAAGAAGGGAAGTCTAAAATATTAGTGGAGGAGAGAGAAGAGAGATGGAGTCTGGAAGAGAAAAAAAGGGGAAAATTGACAAAATAAGCCTCTTGTAAGGGCCTATTAAGTTTTTTAATCGCCCTTCTCAAAACACAAGTTTTCTAGTCACTTGCTGACATCACCTACTTTGCCAAATGACCTCCAATGCCCCTTCTTAATTGGGTACCAAAAGTTTTTAGTTTTCTCTCCCTTATTTGAAAACACTCCATTTCTCTCTCATTATTTTTCATTGTTTTGCTTCTCTCATCTACAGACAACTCTCGATGCTTGAACTCCAGCATCTATCGGTCTTCCATTTCTCTCTCACTATTAGGGTTGTTTTGCTTCTGTCATCTACAGACGACTGACTATCGATGCTCGAACTCCATCATCCATCGGTCTTTGTTTTCAAATGTTTCGTTGGGCTTGTTCTCATATAAGTTATTTATTTGTTTGTTTACTGGGTTGTTGATTTTTAGACGTGGAGGGAGAGAAGCTGACAGACAGGGTGTGAAGGCAAGAAGGAGATCGTTAGCGCGTTAAATGGATATGGATAGCTACTTTGAGGATGATCTAGATCGAGAGTGTTCATGAGCGAGAGCGAGATCGAGAGCGTTCATGAGCGAGAGCGAGATCGAGAGCGTTCATGAGCTTGATCGAGAGCGTACAGCGAAAGCGTGCATGAGCTTGATCGAGAGCGTACAGCGAGAGCGTACAGCGAGAGCGTGCATGGGCTTGATCGAGAGCGTGCATGAACGAGAGCGAGAGAGATGAAAAAACGTGAAATTTAATTCTTTCAATTGTTGGTTGATGTTCTTTAAAGGCTGCATTTATTTATTTTTATACTTATTCGATTTCAGTCTATTGAGAATAAACGGGTGCAGTGGAAAATAGCAGCAAGAATGCAAAACAGATAACGAAAGAGATCGTGAATAAGCTTGAACGAGAATGAGCTTGAACGAAAATGAGACGTCATCGTGAACGATTAACAGCACCATACGATAAGTGGATAAATGTGGAAGAAATAGTAATAAGTAAGTGACGATGATCATAATAAAGGATAAATTTTAGAAGTACAACGAAAATTATCGCGAACGAGAATGAGCGTGAAAGAGAAAGAAAACTGTAGGATATTGAGAAAGTAAGCACTAACAACAAATAATTAATTAATTAAAGTAGCAAAGAGGGGAAATCCATCCATCCCATTACAAAAGTTTTTTTTAGTAGCTTAAACAAAACAACAACCATAAGCTACTACTAGAATGAGATTTTAAAAATTATTATTATTACGGTATCGGCGTAGACGGGCAAGTAACAGAGCCACCCTGTCCTCCAGACGAAGTCGTTCCTCCTTCAACAGTCCCTCTAGCAAGTCCCGCGTTTCTTCAACCCGGGCTAACCTATACCTCGTGTTGTTGAGCTCGTGTTGTGTTCGACGTAGCTCTCTCCTGAGCTGATCGTTTTCTTCCCGTGCTTGTTGAAGAGCATCGTTACTTGGCACTCCGTTCTCCGCGAAGGAGGAGGGATGGTTTGAGATAGGACTGGTTGCTCTGTCGGAAGAGGAACTGTTCGACTCGTTAGATGTTGACATGTTTGCTTCTAAAAGAAAATGTTAGATACTTCTAATCTGGATGTCATTGTTGTGTACTTTGTGGTATCTATATATAGAGAAATTTGGTTGGTTTCGTAATGGATGTGAAGACAAGGGAAAATTGACAAAATAATTAAATCGAAAATTGGGATAACGGGTAGGAAGAGTAATTAATTACTGCATTGGAAAGGTGGAAAGACAACTGAGACTGAGGATTTGAAAGAGCGCATTAATTAACCACCCTCTTAACCTCTTAATTATAACTGGGTATGGATACAAACATCTAGAATGCGAGAGAGCGAGAAAGAGAGAAATCGAGAAATCGAGAAAGCGAGATAGCGAGAAAGATAGTTTATCGTTGCGATAAATATACATCGAGAAGAACGATAGCGAAAGAGATCGAGAGCATAACGGCGATATAGCGAGAGCGAGACAACGAGAACAAGAAAGCGAGAGCGAGACAGCGAAAGCGAGACAACGAGAGCGAGACAACGAGAGCGAGCCAACTAGAAAGCGAGACAGATTTCAAATACTGAAGAACAAATATACTACTACAGAAATTGGGTGTTCTTATAGAGGAACTGTCCTATCTGATTGACTTACACCCTCCCCCCATATATGCATGCAGATGTTCATGTCATCGTAATTGAGTTAGTACATGTTTATCTATTGTGACCCGATGTACCGCATCGAGAACACTTGTTGACACGACGACGCTCACCGGTTGAGGCGATCCATTGCGTTCTACGCCGGCCTGCACGTTTAACAAGTCTTGGTGGTTGGACGGGAATATGCTGGTAATCAGCTGGCCTTTTCCATTTCGACATGTGGCCTACCAATAAGATTGGTTCGGTGTAGGCACCAATTAGTTAGTCCACACTGTAGCATGGATCGATCAACGTGTGGCAATTTATATTATTGTGCCTCGCTGCTGCAATTGCGTGCGAACATGGAATGCTCATGTACTGGAACTCCATGCATGTACAAGTACGGGCATTCAAATTAACCGTCTCGTCCAAGCCACCGTCCTCAACATGAAATATGCACCAGTCGACTGGTTTGACTGTGTAGCGACGGGACTTCTCAAACTGAAGTGCAAGTCGCTCATCTGCATAGTCTGAATGAGAGGTGTTTTGGGTGGACCAGTGAGTCCTTCTTTCGTGGAACCATCTTTGTAGCAAGTTTCGGATGAACTCAACAATCTTAGTGATAGGTAACTCTCTAGCCTCTCGAAGGAGGGCATTTACCGACTCAGCGCTATTTGTCGTCATGTTTTCATATCTTATACCAACTTGGTAGCATCAGGCCCACCGTTCTACCTCAATTTCTTGTAAGTATTTGTCAAGTGAACCAGATCCAACCGATAGTATCTGGTTCCAGTAGTACGTGAACTATGACTTCCGATACGCATACGCTGCATCCTGATACAATTTGTAAAATGCAGCATTCTTGAATCGAGCCTTTATGTTGTTCCCTAGGTGATAAGTGTATATAGCATGGAATGCGTCCGGGAATATCTCACTTGTTGCATTGACGATACTTATATGTCGATCAGATATGAATACAGGTTCTGGTGGGTTTCCGATCATGTCCTTCAAGTTCTTCATAAACCACTTCCACAATGCATCGCTTTTGTTGTCTACAATCGCGAATGCAAGTGGATATATTTGATTATTCCCTTTCATGGCGACACCTATTAGCAGCACTCCTCTGAACTTCCCCTTCAAATGTGTGCCATCAACCATAATTACACGCCTTGTGATTGACTGAAATCCTCTAATGCTGGCACCCAATGCCATGAACAGGTATTTGAAGTTAAGCGAACCTTTAGTCTCGATGTGGAAAATAGTACCTGGATTCTCTATTTTTATCTTTTCACCGTACGCATGGAGATGCATGTAAGAGTCCTCCTGTCGGCCCCTAACAATAGCGTATGCTAACTCTCGTGCTCGATGGGCCTTGTCATAACTTATGGTCACCCCGAACTCTTTACGGACATCCTCCTTAATATGCTTTATCTTGTAAATACGACCGGTTCCAGGAACTCTATCCTTAATAAGATTCGCTACGACCCAGCTGCTCGCCTGTTTGTGGTCATGGTTCACAGTGTCAATCGTGTAGGTGTGTGCATGTACATACTTTGATATACAAAATATCCAAGATTTACCAACAGAGTGGGCTGCAACCTTCCAATTGCATGTATTGTCGATGCAGCGAACAACGAACTTTGATTTCGTTGATCTACTGACCTTGTATTCACAGTTAGATCGCATCGCTGCATTTGACAGCACCATACGCAGGTCTTGCTTTGAAACGAATATCTTTCCCACGTGCAGTTCTTATCTGTCTGGTAAAAGGTTGTACCTTATGGCCTGTTCTATAGTCACGGTGCATGCGGATTGAGGTACTGGATTTGGTGATCACCAACATTACCGGGCTCGGTGGATGAGGGTTCTACTGATGGGAAAACATGGTCTATCGAGGACTTGCATGTTGTACTTGTGCTGTATTATTTATTTCATCAGATGGGAAAACATGTTCTGTACGAGGACTTGCACCACGTACTTCTGCTGTATTATTTATTTCATCTGATGGGACGTGCATTACAGGAGGCATGCGTGTCGCAGGGGTGACCAATTTCGAGTCTTGAGTGTATATACAGTCTGAACTGTACATGTCGTGTATGTATACGTCGTTCAACCCCCACTCCTCTACTCCCGTGTAACCTTCTTCTAGTATAGATTCTCCATTAGAAATGGACTGCAGGTTTAATCTAGATGATTGTAGGTCAATGCTTTCGCGAAGGACGGTCGATACAAACAGTGGGACTTTAGAAACCTATTCTTGGAGTAATGCAAATTGGAGGTCATCGTCATCCATTACGAACATTGGTGGTGAATCACATGTCAAGTTGTACGGTACCCTAATTACCAGGTCGTACTCATTCTGGTCGACTTTCATCACTCTGTATAACCGATTTTTCAGTTCATTGTACGTTACTGTAAGTGGGACAATTATTCCTTTCAGCTCACCGCCGACATACGAATTTGTGTTGTCTTCCCACATACCACCAAATCTTATGAATAAACTTTTACCAATCTTCATCCTGCAGGCCACAGAGTCCTGTGTGGAAGTTCTCGTTCTCGCTCAATGACGTTATTGTTCTCGACCAATGTCGATCTCGCTAAGTCACGCTCTCGTGCACTCTCAATCTCGATCGAGATTATCCTCAGTCTACATTAATCTACGTATCATGCATTGTTAATGGAAGGCCAATAATAAGCAGCAACAATGGTATCTATTTAAATTGTACTTGCAAGATGGACAAAATAGTTCAGTGAGGGTGGGATAGCTAAAAAAAACGTGACAGATGTGTTGGGAAGTCTGATGTATTAATCAACAGAATAGTTAATTTAACGCGGGAATACACATTAATGGTTATGAGAGAGTGCTTACAGCATGATAAGGAAGTGTAATGCAATCAATGTCGTTCTGATGCTTCAACAACCGAGCAAGGAGAAGAAGAACTTAATGCAGTGAGGGGGGTGAGACCTGGGTTTATATCCACTTCTAATTACATTACATTGAGTTAATGAGTTTTGATATTGTGAAAATTGACAAAATATAATAAAATTAATGGGAGTGGATTGGTGAATGACATGTTACCATTACACTCTGTCATGCAGTTCAATCAGCCGCATCGCATTGCATCTAACGACATGTGTGAAAAGAAAAGAAGCAGAAGCGACAATGAATAAAAAACGATATCGAGAGCGAGAATGATCGTGATCATGCGCTCTAACAACAATATCGAGAAAGCGAGCGTCGAGAGGTGACATATCGAAATCAAGATCATGTTAGATTAAGATCAAGTTAGATCGAGAGCGAGAAAAAATTTAGCATACAGCAGCATGAGCGATACACACACTGAAAGAAGCGCGACATAGCGAGATCAAGTTATATCGAGAGCGAGTTATATTGAGGGCGAATCAGATCCAGAGCGAATTACATCGAGAGCGAATTACATCGAGAGCAATTTACATCGAGAGCAATTTACATCGAAAGCGAATTACATCGAGAGCGATTTACATCTAGAGCGAGCTATATCGAGAGCGAGCTTATAAGACGCAATGAATAAAAAAAATATGGCATGTTCATTCAAAGTACGATTCATTATGCCAATTATGCCAAAGTTGTGTCCCATACTGCCTTCTAATGTGCGACACTTCAGACTGAACAAGAGTTTCTAAAGTATTACCAGACACAAGATATTCCAAAATTTTACATGCAAAAATACCACAATCTATACTACCTTTCTGCCTCGTGTCGGTTGTAGGACGGTATACATGCCACAGAGTCTTCCTCAGCTTGCAATCGACCGTATCCATCAGCCCATATGCGTACAAAAGCGATGAGAATGTATGACTCAACGGCCGCAGGTCTGTCATCAACTTCGATGTGGAAATGTGGCCTGGCAATGAGTCGTACACAAAAATCTTGGACTGGGTCATATCTATCGCAACCAGGACCTAGTGATCCCTGATAAGAAGCGGGTTGTACACTACGTCGACGTCCACCCAGGATGGAATGAAATTTTCCACCTGACCCAGCACGACATCCATGCACTCTTTATACTCGTCCCAAGCATTGATCGTGTCCTAGACGACCTTCCCCTTGACTCGTGCATAGGGACCACCTGCGGCGGCAAGGACTTGTTGTATAACAGCAACATCACACACACAGGACAATCACCATTAGATTTGTCGAAACATAAATATTATGCGTGTATGAACTACCTATCTTACCATTTGTAGTGGGTCCAGGACAGAAAACTTCTGAACGCACAGGTGCGGCCGACTATCGAGCTTCCTCATAATGAAATATGTTATGCCAGCAAATTTCTGCACTCACAATTACAACAGATATGTTTGGTGAGACACAGTGCAGTAATGGGCCTAGAGTTATGGGATGTGTTGTATCACTTACCGGGTTTTCAACCTTCTCCTTAGCTAGTTTAGCAACTTCAGGATCAGATAAGTGTAGCAACTTCAGGATCGGATAAGTGTATGGTCATCTCTACGGCATCCGTTGCCTTTTCATGCAACGACGCTTCTGCATCAACCACATCATCATCCTTTCCAGTATTGGAACCTCCAAGTTGATGGTTATCAACATCCCCATCATGCTCGGGGATAACATCGGATACCAATGGATGTGACAGGTGGACTGTATCCGACGGAGAGACACCAATATTCACCTCGCGCCTATCGATCTGCAAACGAACTAACGTATTAGCACTTCGATTGAATGAATACATATAGTATACGAATTATACCAAGTCATAGGAAAAAGCTACCTGGCACAATCGTTAAAGCATGACTTTCATTTCACTCAAGTCCGACTTGACCTTCGCCAAATCCGTTTTCACCTCCACCATGTTCGAAGCTAAAAGATCCAGCCTTCTCTCCATTGCCCCGAATCTATCATTCGGGGTGTCGCTCGCGGTGATTTTCGCGTGCTTTGCCCCACATTCAAACGAATAGAAGTACTTGGTCGAAGTATTTCGATCGATGTCTGTTGCCCACCTTCGGACGCGGCCTCTGTACGTGGCATATCTGAAGACTCATCCGGCACTGCCTGTACATTCGTTTCCAACGACTGAGCATCGTCGAGCGGGAGATCGTCTTTGGCGCCAAAATTGTCGGTGATGGGGGGAGGATTTTGTCCATCGTCGCTGTCGGAAGTGGAACACCCAGGCGCATTTAAATCAACCACCTCTCTTTCGTCCAATGGACACCTCTGGTAGTCCCTATCCAGCTCCGTCTCCACAAGTGGATAAAATATGACCAATTGAATGTACATCACAAGAACATAAAGAAGTGTAAATACCATTACAACTACACAACAATAAATATATTCTAGATCACTTGCCACCGCTGAACCAAAGACCTCCTCCCCTAGATCTTTTGTACCGACGACTCTACTGCACAAATACCGAATTATCCGGGGAATCGCGGTCTCGCTCAAACGATTGACACCGAGAGTGATGAGAGATGAGACAACCTCAAATATCAACACCTGAATATAAAATTTCAGTTTAGTCTCACACCTAAAAAAGTTTTCACAAACAACAAACTCGTATGCATACGTATTGATTACCTGAAACGCAAGCGGAAATCCTGGTAGGCTATACTTTACTAGATATTTTTTGTTCGTTCTTACTTTATTCTTATATAGTGCAACTTTTCCATTCATCGCACGCTTTAGGCCGTTAACTGTCACTCCAAACATCAGAACCCCAGTCCAAATGGTTGAAGTAGTCCAAGTCATCGACTTGGTTGTACAAGTCGATGTCAACCTTCGACTTGCTCTTGCTCTTTCCCATCATCACAAGCTCCGTGTACAAAATTAATGTCACTTTAACGACGTCCTCATCATCCTCGAAATCAGTCTGCTTGTAAACCTCTACAAATTCTTTGAGCAGCATGGAGGCTTCATCGTTGAAGTACTTCCTCTACAACCTATTCTTTCCAATATTTTTCTGGACCACCTTACCGGGCAGCCGCCACAATCCCGTTATAAGCATGAATTGATCCTTTGAGAATGTCAACACGTTGCCACCAAATAAGAATCTCATGTTGTCGTCACTGCTACCAGCAACCTCCCTTGATAGAAAGTGGTGAACTACACCACTGCAGAACATCATCTCCAAGTCGATAAATCGACCAAATATTGTTCTTGTACGAAACATATCAAGTTGGTCCGCTGTGAGCTTATCCTTGATAAGCCTGTTGACATTGCTCATGTGAGACATGCTGGTAGCTTGAGCCGGAAAGCTGTCATTCTCCTTAATCCTCAACTGATGGTCCATTGTGCACCTGCAACAAATTGAACAAGATATATGATGACAAATTAAGCAGATAGAGAAACGAAAACATGCAAGTAGTTCAAAAATTTAATAATTGAACATGATATATAATCACGGATTAAGAAGATAGGGAAAGGGAAACACGCAACGAGTTGAAATACAAAATGTAAAACACTGTAATTTTTCTCGATCTCGATGTTTCTTGATCTCGATGATGCTCGATCTTGATGATGCTCGATCTCGATGATTCTCGATTTTGCTCTACCTATTTCACACTCACTATAATTGCAAATCGATGGAGCTTCTCTCGTTCTCGATATTTCTCGCTCTCGATCTTTCTAGCTCTCGATGTTCTAGCTCTCGATATTTCTAGCTCTGGATTTTTCAAGTTTACTGCATCGATCACGATGATTCTCGATTTCGCTCTTCCTATTGCACACTCACGGTAATTGTAAATCACTGAAGATTCTCTCATTCTCGATATTTATCACTCTCGATCTTTCTAGCTCTCGATGTTCTAGCTCTCGATATTTCTAACTCTCGATTTTTCATGTTCACTGCATTTCTCGATCTCGTTTTTCGCTCTGGCTATTTCAACATCAGCCCTCCCCCCCCTCAGTATTATTGGTTTTCAATAACACGATTTTCTCCTTCATCGATTCATTTCCATGGCGCGATTATGTATTATTTTCCTCTTCTCCGAAAGCCCTAGATGTGCAGTGTATAAAATCCACAAAAATCGCAAAAGAGACAGACGACCAACATTGGGGTTGTACAGAACTTACGAACAATAGCTAAAATAGTGGAAATTAAAATGAAAATCTTAAGCAATCGAGAGATAAATGCACTAACCCAAAGTTAACGATGAAATCTCCTTCATTGTAATCTGCTACCAAAATCACTTCGTCTCACCGCTTGAAGACAGGGTCAGAGTTACCTTAAAGAGTTGCAATTGAAATACGAAGGAGAACGAGAACGAGATTTTGAGAAATGTAATTTCAATCGCAGGTGAAGACAAGTCAAATTTGAACGAGCGAAGAATGCTACAGTGTGAGTGCGATAAAGATGGAACGGACGTGGGAAAATTGAAAGTTCGGACTATTGATATTACCTAAGTAAGGGAGGGAAAACTAAAAACTTTTGGTACCCAAGTAAGGAGGGGCATTGGAGGTCATTTGACAAAGTAGGTGATGTCAGCAAGTGACTAGAAAACTTGTGTTTTGAGAAGGGCGATTAAAAAAC